TGGAGTGCAGTGGCGCAATCTCAGCTCGCTGCAACCTGCACCTCCCAGGTTCAAGCAATTCTCCTGCCTCAGCCTCCCGAGTAGCTGGGACTACAGGCGCATGCCACCACGCCCAGCTAATTTTTATATTTTTAGTAGAGACGGGGTTTCACAATGTTGGCCATGATGGTCTCGATCTCTTGACCTGGTGATCCGCCCACCTTGGCCTCCCAAAGTGTTGGGATTACAGGCATGAGTCACTGTGCCCGGCTCCATATATCTTAAAACCAGGATTCATGCTGGGCACGGTGGCTAATGCCTTTAATCCCAGCACCTTGGGAGGCTGTTGGGAGACTGAGGTAGAGTACTTGAGTCCAGGTATCAGAGACCACCCTGGGCAACGTGGTGAATCCCTGTCTCTACTAAAAAGTACAAAAATTTATCTGGGTGTGGGGGCATTCTCCTGTGTTCTCAGCTATTTGGGAGGCTGAGGTGGGAGAATCCTCCTTTTCTCAATTTAATTGAGCCTGGCAGACTGAGACTGCAGTGAGCCGAGATGGTGCCGCTGCACCCCAGCCTGGGTAGCCGGAGTGAGACCCTGTCCCAAAAAAACAACAGAAACCCAAAAAAACAAAGCAGGATTGATCTTGTAAGCTTAATGAAGAAGTTTATTTTCAAGTAATTTCTTACTAATCACAAATTTCAGCATCAAAGGGTTAATAAATTACTGGAGTTTTCCTTGAGTGCATTTAATACAAAGAACACATAAAGAAACAAGCTAGGACTAAAGATAATTATTTTGTGGGAAAGATTTAGTATTTAGGGTATGCATATTAAGATTAATTTACTGTTCTGATGTTAAAAAAAAGTAATGTTGCAGTTTTAGTATGATGCAATATAAAGTGTTATTTTTGAAAGATTCTGAATAATACTTAATTTTTAAGATATATTGCAATATCATAATTGTAGTGTACCTGCCATTGTAACTTGGTGATAATTATTTTACAAGTTTTAATGTTGAATTTTTCTAGGTAGATATTCCATCCATTATAACCAAGAAACTATTAAAAGCAGCAATGAAGCATATAGAAGTGATAGTTAAAGCCAGACAGAAAGGTAATACAGTTTTCTACTACAGTTCGAGTGATTTTGTTTTTATACACCATTTTTTACCTGAAATATCTAATTATGAGTACCAATTCATTAACTTATATATTCACAGTTGCTGCTAGAGTATTCTTTTAAACTGAAATCTCTTTCAGTAGTTTGCCAATAATGTGTGAAAACTCGAGAATCTTTAAAAATTAAAATAAAAGTTAACTTTACTGCTTATACTCTCATTGTTTTTTGAATGATAATCTGTTTCTCTCTGGTATCTTTCATTTCTCTTCTCCCTTCCTCCTTAATTTCAATGGTTTTGACCTCTTCTAGCCCATCCTATATATTGCTCTAGTTTACTTTCGTGATATGACAAGTCTCATGTTGTCTTTCTACTAAAAAAAAATTTAATAACTATCATAACATCTTAATTGTGTATTTAACCCCTTTTCTATCTAGTCAGATATTAGATCTAGTCTTCTTTCACTATGTATTATGCTTTTAGCCAGGACGACCTATTCGCTGGTTCTTATGTGTGTTCTGTCCTTTTTATGGTCATGATTTGCACACAGCAAATGTTCATTAAATGTTTTTCCTTCCTTTCTTCCTCCCTTTCCTCCTTTACTTTTTATCACATCCTGCAGGATCTTTTTTGATTGAGTGAGTGGAATCCTCATTTGAAACTTTTCATGCTCTAAGATCAAGCTCTAAAATGTTTCTTTCTAACATAACTACTTCTATGCACTAAGTTCTTCGTGAAACTGAGATTTTCCTTGTATTTGCATTTGGTATTCTTTTTTGTCGATGGTTTCTGAAGTACGTCCTGCAGAATACCACTGTACATACAAGACCATATGACCAGAAGAGGTTTTATGGTCCTATCTTTTGTTAATTACTATTGTATTCCCCTTGTAAAAATTCCCATAGGTAGGAGCACACGAAAAGCTCTGGGTAGTTTTGCAGCAGTTAAATAGCGTTAGTTTCAATCTAGCATGTTCCAAATTCATTTGAGCATGGAACCATTTATCCCTCCCACATAGTATCAATTATTTTAATCAGAAAACATTTTGGGAAATTATGCTATAGGTAGATTTGAAGTTAAATGTAATTATCAGTTTATTTGCCTCCCCCCTTTTTTTTCTTTTCCCTGGAAAATTAAAGCAATTAAATCAAGAAGAGCTGCATTGTTAAACCAAGCAGTCACATGTTCACTTCTGGCACAGTGCATGAATATACAAGGTGCTCAACAAATGCTGTTTTGTTGTTGTTAGTTTTGAGACAGAGTCTTGCTCTTGTTGCCCAGGCTGGAGTGCTGTGGCGCAATCTCAGCTCACTGCAACCTCCGCCTCCCGGTTTCAAGCGATTCTCCTACCTCAGCCTCCCAAGTAGCTGTGATTACAGGCATACGCCACCGCGCCAGGCTAATTTTGTATTTCAGTAGAGACAGGGTTTCTCCATGTTGGTCAGGCTGGTCTTGAACTCTCAACCTCAGGCGATCCACCCACCTCAGCCTCCCAAAGTGCTGGGATTACAGGTGTGAGCCACACAGTCACTCTCCTAATAGCTGGTTGTAGGGCTAGCTAGGTGCCTGCAATTTCCCTTGAAGGGACTCAAAAGTTTTCCTTTATTTTCCTGCTGGGGGTCCTGGCAGGTTCGTAAGAGGAGTTACTGCTCCATCTCAGTACTCACACTGTTGGAATGCATATAATGCCTTTTTGTGTCTATGAATATGCTTGCATTCTATTTCAATAAAAATAGAAGGAAATAGTTCTAAAATAAATGCCATTGATTTAGGGTTAAGATTGATTCCCAACACAAACTCCATGATGTAAAAACTCTGCGCAGAGTGCAGAAAGGGAAAAGCATCCCTTGCCTTTCTACTTCGTCTTTTCAGGTCTGTAAAAAGGAGACAATACTATTAATTTTAAATTTGAAAATATTAGTTAACGCCAGGCCTAAAAAAGAAATTTGTTAGCATAACTTTTATTATCAGTTAATGTTTATTAAGAAATCTATCCCTAGCCGGGCGCGGTGGCTCAAGCCTGTAATCCCAGCACTTTGGGAGGCCGAGGCGGGTGGATCACGAGGTCAAGAGATCGAGGCCATCCTGGTCAACACGGTGAAACCCCGTCTCTACTAAAACTACAAAAAATTAGCTGGGCATGGTGGCGCGTGCCTGTAATCCCAGCTACTCAGGAGGCTGAGGCAGGAGAATTGCCT